ATTTGAAGAGCCTGCAACTGAGGACGGCCCAAACCCTAGCCCACTTGAGTGAGATAGTGTCATTGGTCATGGTGCAGCGCAGCTGCACGTGGCACGTCTCAGCGCAGCGCGCAAACATCACACACTAACGCTGGCCGATTTTCCTTTTTTGTGTCTTTGCCTGGAGACAGTTGCGGTCCGCGCTGTGTAGCGCTGGTGGGCCTACAGGGATCTGCACTTTCCTGCAGCAGGTGACTTGAGATTCAATAAGTTAGTATCAGACCCTTCATCGCGCATGTGCTTTCATTATATTCCACTTGTGGCTGTGGAAATGCCATGTTGTAGGTGTGTCGCCTTGTTCTCACTCTTGGATGTAGCATGCAAAGCTTGCGCATGTACTCGTGTCAGCAAAAGTCCTGTGTTGGTGGCCGCCGCCATCAGAGCAGCCCCACTGCTGCCGCCGTCAACAACTTGACGTTGTAGAACGCGTGCCACCGCTGCTGGAGCAAGAGGGCATTGGCTCCGCAGCGCACAGGTGCACACGCGCACATGCGTTGCTCCCACCATCGTGCGTGCTGCCGCCATGTGAGCGCGCTGCTGCTGCATCATGAGTGGCCCCTGTCAGTGCTCAGCGTACAACGCAGGTGCCTCCCGTGGTCACGGCTTGCCGCCCGTGTCGCCACATGCGCTGCTGCCGCGTGCGCGCGCTGCTGCGGCCCTTACTGCCACCGCGGCCCTTACTGCCGCCGTGGCCTTGACTGCCGCCATGCAGAACATGCAACAAAAGTGCTGCCACCATTGTTGCCGGCGCCGCTCATAGTGTCCGCACATGCTGAATGAACATGCTAATGTCGGCACTGAGCGCGCCGCACATTGATCGCAATTGGCGTCTGCCTCGCTTCATGGCCGCCCTGACAACAATGCCCGCGGCTGCCTTCGCTGACAGTGCTCAAAAGGCGGCAGACTTACACTCTGTGTCATTAGAGTCAGGCACAGATAAACGGCAATAACAATAGCCTGTGTGATCTGAGGCTTTCGACTTTCTGCTGACAAGCGACGACAGGCGCAAATGTGAGTGTTGCCACGTCTACTTCAACTTCTACGAGGTTTATTCTCAGCTGAAGTCTTACACACACGGAGTTCTGGCAACCTCGGAGGAGCGAGCGGGGCATCGTTAGCAGTGATTACCAGCACCTGGCGCATCGTCCCACGGCAGGGGGCGCAAGTCACTTCACCAAAGGTGTGTGTGTGGCAAGTGCTATGTCAGGCATTTTGAAAACGTTGGAGTCAACACACACTGTGACAGTCCCGGCGGCACCTGTCGTCCTGGCGGTCTGTCGGCCAGCAAGGTCATTCAGCCCGTGTGTCGACCGCAAGAGCAGAGTCAGCAATCTCCACCTGGCGCAAGTAGCAACCAGCTTGAGTGGCACAGCGTCCTTTCTTGGCAGCTTTACGCAAGCCTCGGCGTGGTCTCTGGAGCTTGTCTTAGTGTTTTCATGATTGGACGAGCCCCGACGGGCCACAAATGCTCAAAGAGACTAAACCTGCCCCCAAGCTGGGTGTGCCGCCTCGCTCAGGGTTGCGTAAGACACAGTGCCAATGCGATGTTGTATCCTCTGTCCGCTTTGTGATCTGATAGTGGAAGGACACCATGGGCAGCCTTGCTTGCATCAGCGAACTTTGAGAGAAAGCTCAGGTACCTTCCACCTTGTCCAGTTGTCTCACTACTGTGATTTTCCTGAAGCCGCTGCTGCCGCCCACTCAAGCCCTGCTGTCACTGTGTCCTCACACTGTGGCACACAGGTATCCATATCACCTCCAACGACATGCGGGCCGTCTCTTCTGCGCTGCTGCTAGTGGTGCTGGCAACGACATCGGCATTCGTGCCCCTCAATCCCCCTTGCATGGCCAACGTGGTTGCGTTTGCAGGTGCGTTTCAAAAATGCATGCGTTCAGGTCGTGCGGTGCGTTTGTATCGAAACTTGAAGCACCTGCTGCTGGCTTCTGTTCATCTTAGCGAGGATCCCTCGATGGCAACTTTTGCAATGCTTTTGAAGTAAACCTTTGACTGAACGTTGTTGCAGCACCTTTCCAACTGCGCACCTCACCCTGGCCCTCTTAGCGATGTTTGAGTGAACACGAGCCAACGCCAGAGTCAGTGGGAGCATCACCAGAGTACCTTTGCGGCACTTGACTGCAATATATATGAGCAACAAAGAGTTTCAGTGCAGTGTGGTGAACCATGTGTCCTGGACAGTATTTGATTATGTTTTGAGAGGCCTGTGCCCCGAAAACGGCGATTCGTGACCCCAAAGCCGTTACTGTCATAGGATACGCACGATACTCGGTGCACGCGTTGTGCAGCACACGCGCCGGTATAGCACTGCCTTAGTGCCTTGGCCGCCGCGGCGGTGCCCCCTGCAGCTTGGGGGTAAAAAAGAAAAAAACCCTGCAGGGTGTCTGTACAGCTGCTACACCAGTTTTTGTGTTTCTGCTTGCATGTTGATGGGCAGCACTCCTCTTCCAATGCGCGTGGCGTACGTAGTGTCGCGCTTACATGGTAGGCTTATGATGATACTGAATGCCTCTGGCCAGTCACGCATCGTCTCTTTGCACGGCAACGCACCGCAAAACATCTTTCTGCAGGCACTTTTTCCTTCTCGTTTTGTGCGCGTGCCGACGCCACTCATTTCAACTCAATGCAGTGACCCTGGATTTGCTATCAGAGTGGTGCGCTGGAAAGCTCACTATTATATACCCACGGGCGGGTTAGGCCTGAAGCTGCTGGCGTCCATGTGCTGCATTAGGAGAAACTGGTCCAGAAATTACGTTTTTTGGTCATAGCTTATGAAGGTGGTCATATTGAGCAAAACTCATCCGCGGGGCTCTGAAGAAGCACCCAAATGACATATTATTTGCTCAAAAGTGCCCTTTCAGATTCGCCCAGGTGATGAGGTGATAGCTCTGGGCAGAAGTAAATAGGCTTTGGTACACACAAGCCACGCGCGCACATGACCTGCTCGCGCGGCGCGTGCAAGCCGACGCAGAAGCCGCCTGATTTATGACCTCGGCCTTTGAAGCACCGGCCCTGTGCTGTGCGCAGTGTAGATGCTCTGTTTGCTGTTGGGCAGCATTGCTTGTGCACCACCTGGCACTGGCAGCGGGTAAACATCAGGGATACCTACATTAGCATCTCATCCCTTTCTTGCTCTCTGTTCCACGCAGGCGAGAAGGAAAGCGCCGACCGCTTCTCGGCTGAGGATTTGGACGCCCGCAGCAGGGCAGAGCTGCGGTATGAACCGGTCACGATTGCGGACAAACTAGATGAAGTGGCCGAGAACGTGGGCAAACTGCGCAAGGACGTCGGCGAGCTGCTGCGCACCGAGCTGCGCAGCGATGTCGGCGAGCTGAAGAGTAAGGCTGACGAGGCAAAGACGATGCAGACCGGCAACATTGTCGCAACAGTGGCAACGTTTCTCGTGACGCTGTCAAACATGTACATGATGATGCATCTGCCGGGCAAGTGAGCGCCAGTGCTGGCCTGCGATGCACTCACGATGTGTATGCTCCGGTTGCCGGCGCAGCTCAAGGTCACCATAGTCTATGGGCTGCATGTAATTAAAACTGCCACATATCCAAATGAGGCGGAGGATGGCTGGGTGTCCCTGCAGCTGGTGTTGTTGCTCTGTCGCGCGTTTGCATGCTGCTGATGCTGACCTAACTTCAACTTCTTCTCAAGCGACTTGAACTTTGGCGGCAGCCCGCGTCGCATCCATGTTTGGAAGTGTTGTAGAAGCGAATTAAGTAGGAGTATAGACTACTGCTGTATGGGATGCTATGTTACCTTTGAACTTTGGATGAACGCAGTGCGGGTGGCCTGTGGCGCGTGCTGTAGGTATACGTGCTACATCAGTTGATTTATCCTTGACATCAGCATACCATAATCACACGCATCGGATGTGCGGGGCCCATCAGCCGTTGTGGGAGCAAATGCCGGCGGACCGCTGCAGCCGCAGTACACGTATGTTGACGCTCAGGCTGGGTTAACTTCAAGATGATATCCTGCAGGCCCTAAACCCCCCCCAACACTGTCAGCCAGATTACTGGGAGTCTTGCAGACTGCAATCCACGGCGGTGCAGACATCTGCGTTAGAGTCTGGGCGAGACCGTAAATCACACGACAGGATAACTTCAACTTCAGATGTGCACGAGCCTCTGAGTGAAAGCGCCGCGGTCGCTGCCGCTGCAAGCGCAGCTGAAGTGTAACGCCGCCGGCGCTGCCATGCCATGCGCCCTCGCTGTCATGCGCGCTGCCCCTCTACTGTAACAGCCGCTGTGCGCGCGCTGCTGCCAGTGCATGCATCACCACGGCGCAGCCAGTGCTCAGCGCACAGCGCACGGCGCAGGTGCCGCCCGCATCCGAGTTGCCTGCCGCGTGCGCTGCCGCTGCCGCCGCTGCTTGCGCGCGCTTGTGATGCCATTACTTGCTGCCATCAGCGCTCAGCTCGGGGGCCGCGCAGCTCAAGTGCTGCCGCCGCTGTCGCGAACGCCCCACGGCTCGCTGCCAGCAAGTGTGCGCCGCTGCTGCTTGCGCTGAGCGCGCAGCGCACTGCAGGTGCTGCTACAGTCTCACATCGTGGCATGCTGCCGCCGCCACCGCCGCCGCCGCTGCCGCCCGCCATCGCCATTGACAGTCACTGCAATCAAAGCGCTCAGGCTGCTGCGCCTCTGGACTAGGTGCCTATGCCGTCAAGCGTGCGCGCCACCGCCGCCGCAGCCTCTAGTAGAGCACGTGCGTGCGCAGACAACGGCGGCGCCGCGGCGGCTGCTGCAGCCACCATGCGGCTCTCAAGTGCCGCCGCCGTCACGGTCGCCGAGAGCTCTCGTCAACATACGGACTCCGCGCACGACATCGTGCCCACTCGCAGACCACTTGGTAGTCGGTCCCTGCAGGCAAAGGAGTGGGGTAGCATGCTTGTCACTGACGTCACCATACCGAACTCACACGGATCGGATGTCCCGGCTGGATGGCGCAATTGGCAGCGCGCACGATTCCAAATCGTGCGGTTGTGGGTTCGAGTCCCTCTCCATGGTCAACCTGCACAGACGCCTGGCAGGCTGCCGGTCAGCTCGACGTGCAGTGCGGCAGCGTGCTGAGCACTGCCACCACAAAATCAGCCGCTGCGGCACCGTGACGCACCCACTGGCAGTCTCATCCACGTCAATGCAACGCCGCCGCTGCCGGCACCGAAAGCGTGGCTGAACTGCCGCTGCCGCCCAGCGCGTCGCCACCACTGCATTGAATTCCATGCACAAGCGACAGCGCCGCGCGGCGCCGCTGCTGCCGCTGCAAGCGCGCCTGATTTAGAAGTGCCGCCTCTGCCATGCGAGCGGCTCCCCCGCTGTCGTGCGCGCCGCCCCTCTACAGCAGCGCGACGCATGCATCTGAACACCGCGGCGCCGCCAGTGCTCAGCGCACAGCGCAGGTGCCGCGCGCGCCGCCGCTGCCGCCAGCGCTCTCAGACTGGTGACGCCGCTGCTGCCATCAGCGCGGACCGCGCAGCTCAAGTGCTGCCGCCGCTGTCGCGAACGCCTGGCTGCCTGCTGCCAGCAAGCGGGCGCTGCCGCTTGCGCTGAGCGTGCAGCGCAGGTGCTGCTACGATGGTATCATGACGCTGCCGCCGCCGCCGCCCGCCGCCGCCGCCGCTGCAGTGCTGCCGCCGCTAGCAGTCGCTGCAGTGCGACGATCAAAGCGCCGCTGCGCCTCTGGTAGTGCCTTTGCCGTCAAGCGTGCGTGCCGCTGCGCCGCAAGAGCAGGCGTATGGGCAATGGCGCGGCGGCTGCTGCAGCCACCATGCGGCTCTCAACTGCCGCCGCCGTCACGGTCGCCGAGAGCTCTCGTCAACACACGGACTCCGCGCATGACATCGTGCCCACTCGCAGACCACTTGGTGGTTGGCCCCTGCAGGCAAAGGAGTGGGGTAGCATGCTTGTCACTGACGTCACCATACCAAACTCACACGGATCGGATGTCGACTCGGACAATTTAGATGCAGAATCAGATGTTCTCAGCGACACCCATTGCTACGACGACAACGACGACGCTGTCGCGCTGCTGTTAGATGACGAGGAGCTGCCCGATGATGAGAAGGACGGCGATCGCGGCGAGCCGCAGGGCAGCACTTCCGGCGACAGAAAGCCCCACTGCTACGGCTCACTGGGCCAGCCCAGCTATGGTGGTTCTGATGCCGCCACACGACAGCGCCGCCTGGCCGCCGTACAGGCGGCATGCGCTGAGCGCTTGCTGCCGGTCATTTGCACTTTCATGCGGCCACTGCGATGGGAGGAGGGCGACGAGCACGAGCTCAGGACCGCCGCCGGTCACATCGCCTCGCAGTGCTGCGGCAAGCAGCATGCCATGCGCGGCGTTCTGCTGGAGCTGTTGCTCAGCTCAGCATCACAGCGCGTCGCATTCGTGAGCATTGCAGCAGGTGCGCCTTCCCCGCAAGGATGGATGCGCCCTGAGTCCTCCTCTGCCTGGTACAACGACGCGCAGTTTGCAGCCATGTGCCAGCACCGCGGCCCCCGCCTCTTCACCATGCCCGGCGATGATGAGTCGTGCCGGCGCCGCGGCGATGCAGACGGGCAGCTGTACGTAAACTGCCAACGCCTGGCGCTTGCCATGTTCCACCGCCGCGCCGGCTTGAATGGCGTGTTCTTTGAGCGGCGCGGGGGGGCGGTGGTGGAACTGGAGGGTGCCAGCTTTATCATGACCCCAGACCACTGCTGCGGTCGCACAAAGCCCTGGTTCCAGATCAAAATTCCACCCAGCAAGCACGGCAGGAGGCGGGGGATCGCAGAGTGCGGGGTTGTGATTTTGAGCGCATGGCTGGGGGGAGTCACAGCGCAACGGCCCAAGAACGCACAATGCCCGGCCATGTGCTTGGTGGCAGGGGACCTGCAAGTGATAGCAGCGTCACCACAGACGGAGGCTTAGGATGCAGCGCTGGAGGTGCCCGTCAGCGAACGAAGGGGCGCGTCACTGGTGGGGCGAAAGCGCACGCGGTCAGCTTAGCTTGTGTGGCGCCTAGACCTGCTCACTTCATAGGCCATTGGTTTCAGCATTGTGGACCTGTTTGGGACAGTACAGGACCACGTCTGCGGCATTTTCAGCGTGTATCTCTGACGGATTTCAGCGAGTCAGACTTGTCTTGAGAATTTCGAAGTCAGTTGGGGACCAGTTGGGGACATGATGTCGTATGCATGATAGTTGGCCGCTTTGCCGTCATGGGCACATTGGTCCTGGATTTGGGCGCGGCAATCATTACAGTGCAAGCAATGCCATGTGTTTTTTTGCCATGATAAGTGCGTCACCACACGCACTGTCGGACAGTGGTATGCCTTTGCTCTTATGGGGCCACACCTTGTCGCCTCTGAATCAGATGGCATGCTGGTCACTGTGCTTGCTTTGAAATGGTGTCACACTGTGGTCATACCGCATGTTAGTGCAATGCATGTGGCTTTGACATTGTATTGACAGACTTGGCGTTGCATGCAATATGGCATAGCGGACTCGGAGTGGTAATTGTGTGCTGCTGAGTATGGAGGCAGTGCAGTGTCGGGATTGGTCAATGGTGGGGCTGTGAGCATGATTGTCACCTTCTGCAGCATAAAGTATGCAGTGCAAATGTGTTGGGGCTGTTGCTACTGCTGCAGTCATAGGTCATGCATGTGCTTGACGTCCCTTGGCAGGCAGGATGTGTGATTGTCTTGCTGAACACACCACGCTGAGCACCTGATGCATTCACATTTGGTGGCAGCGGCATGGAAGGCCATCACCAGACATCGTGCACGCATACCCACTGAGGTCGAAGCATAGTGACGCATCAGATAGATACTTGAACGTGGAGGAAGCGCAGAATTTCTCATGACATGACACGCATGCAGGTACATCTACCATGTATGTGGTGTGGTGCCAGGTCACCATACGGCGCCATTCAGGCAAGGTCAAACAGGCATTGACACAAAAGAATTGCGGCATGCCAACGCCGCCAGTCTGCACATGCTCACCAGAAGCAGTCTGCAAAGAGAGGAAAAAAAACAACGCAACTGTTACAGCCGCTGCGCTCGAGAACCAGATAATATTTAGAGTGTGGGTTGAGGGGGGTCCACTGGCCCACATCACCGTACAACATACAGTACGCATGCCCAGGCTCAACTAAGCAGCAGCACCGCTCCTGTAGGCCCATCAGCATCGTTAATTCCACCGCTTGCGCGCGCGTTCAAGTTGCTGAGACGGTGGCGGCAGCAGTAGTGGCTGCTGAACGCGCAGACGGCTCACATGCTGCATGAGTGTGCGCGCTGCAACGGTCAGATGGCACAGCCACGCCGCCTAGCGCTGACGCGGACGTGCTGCCGCAATCACCTCAGCGGCACCCCGACTAGCTGTACCCGTACCTTGGCATCTCGTCGGAGTCCGACCTCCTCCACATGCGTCCATGCTGCCAACGCAGCAGCAGCATAATGAATGATTATGCAATTGCACCCGCGCCGCCCGCTGCATGATTGTTTGCGCCGCCGCAACCGTGTCTGCGCGCAGACGCGGTACCATATTGGATTCCCCCCATGGATGCGTGCCGCCGCCGTCAACTTCGCCGCCTCCGCCACTGTCGCTGCTTCCGCCGCCGCCACCGCCACTGCCGCCACACCAGTGAGGCGCAGGTGGGCGCCAACATGTTCTGGGCTTGCGCACACACCGCCAGCTTTCGCGCCAGCCGTGCTGCAGGTCGTCCACACACTCCTCCACTTGAGCAGGTGTGGCACCGCCTGCGCGCAGTCGAGCCGCCTCCTGTACAGGTGCGCGTGCTGCAGCAGCCAGCTCACTGAGCCGCCTCATCATGGTGCCTCAACGCTTGTGCAAGCGGTCCATGATATCGCACGCCCGCCAGCCCCAAGCTGATCGGCGAGGCCTGCCTGCTGTGCAGCCACAGCTAGTGCACCTGCCGTGGCTGCCACCACCGCTGGGGCCTGCGATCAGTGAACCATGCAAAGCACACATGAGCACAATATGCATACAAAAGGCGAAGAGCACTTGAGAGCTGATTGGGTAATTCATGCCTATCAACAGTACTGAGGTTATATCATTTAAGCCTTAGGGTAGAAATGCCCCGAGAGGCAGAGAGGCCTTGAAATACAGACAGCATCCCACCGTGATGGTGTATATAGCAGCTGCAACGCCTCAACAGGGTGTTGTATTCAGCTTTCAGAATGAAGAAAGAGCCCTCAGACAGTAGTCAACAACACTGTACAGCCAGAGACACAGCAACAGGCACAGGTGCTACACAGGAGAGGGCATGCTAAGCACAATCAGGGATTGTTTGTAAGCAACAGGCATCGTGCAGCAGCTTACCATGAAGAGCGCCCTGTTGCTGTAAGCTGCAAGCAGAGCCAGGCGGACGCCAGTAGAAGAGAGCCAAGGCTGAGCCATTGCTGACCGGAGCATGTACACTGGGAATGCAGCGTTGGCTGCAGACATGGCTACGCTGACAGGACGGCTCAGGTGCAAAGAGGCAGCCATACAAAAAATGTCGTGCAGACGCCCGCAGTGCTACTCAAAGGTGGGGCGTGACGATAATCGCCTTTGCGGTGCAAACACTGATCTGGACGAGGCGAGTGATGGGAGCAAGACACATACTCGGAGAACTCCGAAGGTGGCGCCACACAGGGCACGAAGCAGATGAACCACCCGATGTGTTGAACGGGAGGGGCGCCGTGCAGTGGAAGGTCGGGGCGGGTAGGAGCCTGGAGCGAGAAAAAACAAGTAGTGCTTGACAGCGCTGCCTGTGCTTTAGCTAGTCATCATCGAGATGCGCGCCGCCGCCGCAGTGCTGGTGATGATCATCTCACGTGCTCACTGCTGTCAATCAACCTCAACACTCGACCGTAGCGTAACAGTGCGAAAACTGCCTGATACGAGACTGACGCGTGTTCAAAACCCCCCATATCTGTTATGGAATTTTTCTAGGATAACTCCTTGGACTAGGGCAATCCACCATGTGTGGGTTCCCGACGGCGGACGCTGAGACTTGTCCAATGT